ATGTTTTTCAGCAGGAGTGTTGACTGCCACTCAAGAATAATCCCAACTTCAGGAGGATTAATCCCAGTCATTTCATTTCCATTATGACTGCATACAGTTCCACCTTTAAAAAGCTAAGGGAAGAATATTTTTGTTAGCTTTTATAGGAATTTTTACATGAGATTTTTGAATTAATTGTACTCATTGAGCGTTGTACTCCTCAGGTAAAATTGCCGTTTCTGCTTCTGCATCCCACTGTACAAAACAGAGTAACAGTTTTTACTCGTAGGCCAGTTTGCCAGTTCCCTTTTCATTGACAGAAGCAGTGTCCGTGTTGAGATTTGAAGGGGGGCGGTTGAATCTTCTCTTGCAAGCCCACCGTCAGCACCTGTGTACAGCATCTGTCTGTCTATAGACGGTGGCTTTGATCTGCAGGGGCTACAGAAAGATGTGATCCCTGCTTTTGACTTGGAGCAGCATCAAATCCTTCAGGCACTGGCTGTAGTGGCAGCCCTGGTTCTGACCTTGACTGGGATTTGTGTTTCGTTACGGACAGGATGTTGACGTAGGAGGACTCTCCTACACCATTAGTGGATTAAAGAAGTACACAGAGTACAGTTTCCGAGTGGTGGCTTACAATAAACACGGGCCCGGCGTCTCGACCCAAGATGTGGTTGTACGAACGTTGTCAGATGGTAAGATGCTTCATTCTGATTGTTTTAATTATTATTATTTTTTCCCAGGAATTACCTGTTCATTTCCTTTAAGTGAATTTTTAACCAGGCTTCTGTGGCTTTTGTTCATTGTTGCCCTGTTTTATGAATAATGTTGTCGTTGTGTATGGCCGTACATGGTGAAAGTTCCCCCGGAGGCTTCCCAAACTGGGTGAAGGAAAATTGCTGTACCTGAAAAAGTCTCTGGTATTCTGGTGGTGGAACAAGTGTCCTTCATTTCAGCATCAGGAATTTTTCATGGCTTAGTGAGTCTGTTGCAGAGTATTAAAAGCAGACAGAAAACCGGCGATGCTGAACGCAACTACTCCAAATGGTCTTTTAGGTTCCCTAATATTTCTATGTATGAGCAGACTTGGTTTTGGAGTGGTTTTATTTTAATTGTGGGAAGAGTTCCATGTCTTTATTTGGACTCCAGCACAGATACTATTAAATAATTGCATATAATAATGAAAGCACGGAGTGGTATGATCCATAAGGCAAACAGAGGGATACCTTGAGCAAATATAGTCCTGGGGACAATAGTGAAATAATCAGAGTTGATGTTAACTTTTATTTTTTATAGAGAAGTTTATTTTTATATATCTGTTCAGACCAAAAGTGAGCCTAGCCTGGGTTCTTCTCTCCAGGAATGACCAAAAGCAGAACAGTCGAGCATAGAAGAATATTGTCCCAAATCCTCCCTGTGTCCAGAAGTTTCTTTCAGGGGGGGGGGAATTTCTTGACTCTGTAGTAGTCTCTGAAAACCAGCCATGCAACCAGTTGTTGCCTACAGCTGCACTGCTCGAGGTGAAGAATCGGTGTCCCTCAGCCCTCTGCTGTATCCTCCCTCCTTCCTCTCTTTTCCAGACTTGGAAGTCACAGAAATCTTTACCCATTTCTTTTGTGGGAGCTGTTTCAATCTTCAGGGCCCTTTTCTGAACTTTTTTTAAGGTTTCTGTTCTCCTACATGCTTTTAAAAGGAGGTAGAGGGGACTAAAATTGTATCCAAGGTGCAGGTGTGTGAGGAGTAGCATTTGACTGACTTTTTTTGCTCATTCTAAGCACTGAGGTGACAGTTTTGGGGTAGACCTATCTTGTTGCAACTGCTCTGCTTAAAGCCATTGTTTTGCATGTAGAGGTAGGATCATTTTCCCCATATCTCTAACTTTATCTACCAAAATCTACCTATCTAAATTTATTAATTTCATCTGTCATTTTAATATCCAGACAGAAAGTGTCGTAAGGTCTTTCTGCAGTTCTTCACCGTTGGACCTTTCCATTAGTGATTTGTCACCTTGCTGCTTGTGCCCCTTTCATCCCTTGTGAATGTGTGGAGCAGCAGGGGTCTGGGCAGATACCACAGTGGGCTCCATAGGGCCATCTCCCACCACAGATGGTCCTACCTTCACTTTCCTTTCTTCTCACCAGCTATTTGCTCAGGCAAGGACTTCTATCCCCTCATCACTGTCTCTTCAGAGCTCTCCAGCAGGTTTGCAATGCGGGATTTCCCTTGAAAAAGTGACAAATGTATGTTATTTCTTACTCCATCTATCTATGGATTTCATGCTTTGTTGTAGCTTCAGTTCACTTGCCTAGCGCAGGTTTCTGAGGTACTACTAGAAGTTTCTCAAATGAAACCCCTTCTAAATACTGGCATCCAAGTGGTCATCTCCCAGGATCAAGGCGACGTGTGAGAAGTTGCGTGTGAGCCGTGAGAAATCAGGTTCCTTGAGAAGTCCTGAATGAGCAGCACGTGAGCCTGGCAGCGTGCTGCCGTCCGTTACGTTGGGCTCCATAATCCCTCGTATTGGCACTGCAGACTGAGAGACCCTCTCAAGTGCGTTCCGAAGGGGTTCTGTCACACCCTGCATTTGCTAACTACAGCTTCTCTAAAGGGCTTCCAGCTCCTTATTTGTTTGAAGAAGAATTTATTATTAGTTGTAATGTTATTTTCAAGTTTTCCTTAAGTTCTTCCTGGCCCAACTTAATGTTTTCACATGTAACCTATAGAAATCTATTTTCTCAAGCTTTCAGTTGTCATCTTGCTTCTTCCAGTCCCATAAGCCTGTTGCTCAGCTGTGCTGTTCTCCCCCTTCAGTCGCAAATCTTCCCAGATGAACAATGCACCTTTTCTTCGTGTTTTTTTTCTGATTGTGCTGTCTGTGAGCAATCTCCGTGTTCCCTGCAGGGATTTCTGTCTAAGCTTCTTTTAGCTCCCCTTTAAGAAGCTTCCACGTTTTTCTGTAGGTTTTTTGCTCCTAATCTGTTACGGAGGATTGTTGCAGGGATGCTCCTCAGGTATTACCGTTTGAAGCAAGGTTTAAGCTCCTGAGGATTTCTTCTCCTGGTCTTCCTGAGCCATAGCAAGCAATCCTGTCTTACAGCTAGACATGTTTCCCTTGCCAACCACTCCCTGAAGCCTGTCTGGATCATCAGCACATTGTGGTGGTTCTGCCTGGGTGGTTGCTGTGCAGCAGACCAGAGGAAGCTCTGCCTTTGCTATTGACCTCAGAATATCAGCACCTAGGAAATCCCTTTTACTCACTGGCCTGGTGAAATCCTTACTCTGGTCTGAGTCTAAGCTTACTTGGACATAAAATGAGCTATGTGCATGGTGAGATAGGTGTGTATGGATGTATTGACATGCAAGTGTCCTCTCCTGTGTCCTACTGATGGCCTTTCTCTCACCAGGTTGGCAGTATGTGCAGTAATTATTAATCACACCTAGTGAAACTCATGACTTTTTTTCAGGTTGCTCTGAGAGTAGCCACCAACTGCAAAAACCAGCAAAAACCACACAGCTTCATTCCATTCCATCTTCTCCTTCTAACCTGCGTGGCTTTTTAAAGGACACAGCACTTGCTGCCTAGGTCTGGTGATTTCAGACTCAGTTTGGTTGGGAAGAGAGAGAAAAAACAAACCCTTGTTGTCTCTGTTTCCGTGGTGAGGTAGAGGGAGGAGGGATGTTTAGTTAACCACGGGGATTCCCTTGGGCTCAGGGTCTCGCTTTACATAGTGTCTTAAACCAGAGTGGCTTGCGCTTTCATAATGAATGACAGCAGAGAGCAGTTGTGTGTGGAAATACGGTATTTGATGCACTATAAGGAAATTTTGAAGTTTTAATTTCATTACTGTTTCTAGTCCCCAGTGCTCCACCACAGAACCTAACCCTGGAGGTACGGAATTCCAAGGTAAGATCTGGGTAATTTCCTGTTTGTAATGGGTAGATAACAGGTTGGTAGGTCTCAGACGGACAAAATTTAGAGCTGCTTTGGGTCTTTTTTTCTACCAAGCTGCTTTTCAGCTACTTCTGTATGAGTTGCTCAACAGGAGAATATCTTTCTATGATTCCATGATCTGGACGTGGGGCTGGAGGCACTAGAGACTCCAGTCCAGATCAGGGTTGTACCTATTGGAATTCAGTGAAGACGGTGGCAATGCACCAGGGCATTGGGTGCTAATGCTGAGGAAGGTGTAGTCAGGCACAAAAGCCTGAAGCAGCATTCCTGCTGATTAACCCCTGTTTACAGCGTGTGCACACAGGTGCACGCTTGTAGCGTCCTCGTGCTGTAAAAGAAAAAGTTACTCATTTGGTCATTGTGACTTCAGTGGTTATGACTGGGGAAGTTTTCTGAAGCCTTTTCTAAAAGCTGTTCTCCAAATACCTTCTTCTACTGCCTGTATGATTAAAAATAAATAACTTCATGCACATAAACTACAGCTCAGATAACTTGAACCCTTTAGAGGAAATGACAGTTCTCAAAAATTGATCCTCAAGTAAACTGCATCTTAAGATAACTGTATCTTAAGAAGTCAGGCTGAGGGAGTTGGAACTATTCAGCCTGGAGAAGAGAAGACGCTGGGGGGAACCTTATAGTGACCTTCCAGTACCTGAAGGGGCCTACGTGAAGGCAGGGGAAGGTCTATTCAAAAGGTTTGTAATGACAGGAGAGGGAGTGACGGTTTTAAACTAGGAAAGGAGAGATTTAGACTGGACATTAGAAAAAAGTTCTTTAACGTAAGGGTGTTAGATCACTGGAATGGGCTGCCCAGAGAGGTGGTAGAGGCCCCATCCCTGGAATCATTCAGCGTCAGGCTGGATGGGGCTCTGAGCAACCTGACCTAGGTAGAGATGTCCCTATTTATGTAGAGATTTTGGACCAGATGACCTCCAGAAGTCCCTTCCAGCCCAAAACATTCTATGATTCTGTAACATGAAGGAAATGACAGGGAAGCCCAAGGGGAGGTTTGTGAAGTTGGAACTGGGAGGTCTGATAGGCTTGAAGTGCTCTGAGGTGAACCTCTATAGGCGCAGGTGTGACCTGGGCTGCTCCTGAGTCACAGGCTTGACACTTCTTAAGTATTTTCAGAACACTTGTTTTTCTCTCTTGTGTTCGGTGAGGTATTAGCACTACAGTAGTTTCTGTGGCTGCGTGGCAGGTAATGACTTTGTGCTGACCTTGTCCCTTCCACAGAGCATCATGTTGCACTGGCAGCCTCCTCCTGCAGGGACCCACAGCGGACAAATCACCGGCTACAAAATCCGCTACCGCAAAGTGTCGCGCAAGAGTGACGTGACGGAGAGCGTCGGCGGGCCCCAGCTTTTCCAGCTCATAGAGGGTGAGCTCTTGCTGGCGCCTGGCACTGGTGCCAGGACGGGGCTTGGGGATGAAACTAGGTGGGGTGATTTGCACACGTGCCTGAGGGAAGTCGTGAAATGTCCACAGGACTCGGAGCTGGGCTTCTTGGTGAGCATCCCAACAAATGGTGCAAATCATCCCACCTAGTCTCACTGACATCAACGTTTTCCCTCCTTTCTGGCATGAATGGAGTATCCCTCCTCTGTATTTTGTACACTTAAAAAAATTCCAATCTGGTCCGTTACTATAAGTTAGATATTGTTAGCAGAACTAGAATTTTGTTAAGCAAAAATGAACAGAATATGGGAACAGGAGCGAGATGACATTTGGTTCACTTTTTAAATCTCTGTGAATGAACAGTTGGTTGAAAGAGAAGAAATTGTGCCTCTCAAAAAGTACATATTTGTTTTCTAAACAAGATGTTCTGGTTTGTTCTCAGAAACTCCAGCTGTGACTCAGGAAGTTTCAGTTCTCTCACAGAGTAGGAGTTGATACGTGCCTGTAACTGGAGCATGGTTTTGCCAGCAACAAAGCCTGTATAGGAAGTTCCATATCTCAGATCTTGAGAGCATTTCCATACTGCTTTGGTTATCGATGATACACTTACAAACAGGAGATGCACGGCTTCGTCCCTTGCTGTCCATACTCTCCACCAAGGTTTAGTTATGGATAGGGGTGGTAACAACCAGAGATTCAAGCTGGCAGATGGCCCCCAGTCTCTCCCAGTGGCACACGGGGACAGTCTGCAACATGTCACAGCCCTGAGTGCCTCTGGTCACAGTTTGGCTGTTAGACCCTAACTGGGGTCGGGTTCCTTGGTGGATCTGCTCTGGGGGCCGTGGGGTTTCCAGCCTGACCTTGTGTGATGCTCCAGTGGCAGCGTCGGGGTGAAAGGCTTTTCACCCCTCGGTTATACCTGCATTTTAATAAGGAGCTGTGCTTCCAGCTGGAATTCCAGGGTCTTGGCTGCTCTTTGTCTCTTAGGTCTGGAGCGTGGCACGGAGTACAGCTTCCGCGTGGCGGCCCTGACTGTGAACGGCACCGGGCCAGCCACCGACTGGGTGTCGGCAGAAACCTTTGAGAGCGACCTGGATGGTAAGACCCAGAGTGTGGCCCTGTTTGTCATGTCAGAAACATCAGAGTTGGTGAACAGGGCACAGTGCGAGTGCCTTTTCCAGAGGCACACAGGATTTTGTACCATTGGTGTTACTGTATTCTCATTGTACAGTGTGCTTTATATATCATTAAGTGAAGTTAATGTCTGTTTTGACACAAAATTTTGACCAAGTCAGTAAGTGGATTGACACTGAACCTTGCTTCTATGCCTTCTGGTACTGTATGTTGGTGTTGTGTTTTTTTCTGCTAAGAACTACCCAATTATGAATTACAGTGTCAGTGTTTCAGTATTTAAATGAGTTATATTAGAAGCTTTATATAATAATGGATCGATTTTTATATTTTAATAAAATTCACCTTGATAGTTATGCAAGGGTTTACATGGAAGAGAGGCAGGAGATACATGGGTGGGCTGACTGACCAGGTGTGGTCCTGTGGCTGCAGCTTGGGGGGCTCGGTGCCTGCACTCTGGCCCCAGACTTGGAGCTGTCATCTTTAATGTGACAGAAATGCCACAGAGGGAAAGAAATGGCGGAAAACGTTGTCACCCACAGACCTGTGCAACCTTACCACTGTGTGTTCCACTGGTCTCTTAAAATATTTTTCCTTAATTTTTTTGGGCTTAGACTTTTTCTAAAGAACATTTGACCCCCAGTAATTGTTGTTTTGTCGCTTTAAAAGAGAACAGAGATTGACTCCACTTTCAGTACCGATAAACTAGTGTAGAGCATAGCTTCCATCAAAAATGAAGTCTTCTCCACCAAACCCATATATTCATGATATGTGTATACAGAACTATGTTAACATCTAGTTTTTCCAGTGTAGAGTTTAACAATAAAAGTAAAACATATTCTGTCAAGAGTTTTAACCTTTGGTGGTTGGTCCAGATGTTCGGTATTTACTAGACTAGAATAGTGAGAACCTGATTCTTGCAGAATTCAAAGCCGCAAATTTGTGAGCATCTGCACGAATCTGACTAAAAGCTATTAAGTTGCAGAAGTGCCCTTTCTGAAGAGAGGGCTGGGATGGATCTCTGTGGAGCTGGTGACTCTGGGCAGCCTGTTCCTCTTTCAGAGGAGTGTTTAATTGGTGCTGGTGTACAGGACTTACCGGCAGGCCTGGCTCCCTCTTGGCTTGACCAAAGGAGCTGCAGGGTCATTCCATTTCACTTAAGGGTGGCCAGAGATGCAGCGAGACCAGCAGCTGGAAGACAGAATAGTATAAGAGCTTCAATATTTGCTCTGCACTGTTGGGAGGCTGCTCCAGCCAACAGCTGATGAAAGCCCTTGAGAGCCTGTGCCTCAATCTGTGCATGACACAAAGCTGATGCTCAACTTGATACTTGTTCTCCGTTGCTTAATGGAGAACAACACAAACAGCAGTAAAGTTCAGTCCAGTAGTGGTTTAAAATGACTTTTTAGAGTTGAAATTACTGTGATGTGTGTGTCTGTCTTCCTCTAACTGGACACGACACAACCTTGCAGCTTTGGGAATCCACTAGGTCCCCAGGCTGAAGCAGAGCTCTGGTTACACAAGGTGACGAAAATGGGCTCTGCTTTTGACTGAGGCTTTGCCAGAGGACAGTAGCAGGATTAAACTTAAATAGGGTGGGAGGAGGGAGGAGAAAGATGCAGTCTGTGTTGATATTACAATATATTTATTCAATTGGAATGTTGCAGTCCTTGGAGGAAATCTAACTTTCTTGGATATATATGCTCTACAGTGAATAAAGTAATAAAAATTTGCAGTTAAAACAATGTGCCATGGTATTAAAATTCCATATACGTCTATGAGACGCTTGTGTGTGGGCATACTGGAAGGAAGTCGTGTATGTTTTGCTTTTGCTCACGTGGATAATTTTAATACCATGCAAAGATGTCAGGCTCAGCAGACATGGAAGGCATAATTTCTTCTTATTCCATGGCTGCTTTTGGAATTGAAATAGAAGATAATTCACTTTATAGTGTCACCAATGTAAAGGGGAGCCGGGCTGCTGCAGTTCAGTGTTGGAGGGCTGAGTTGGTGCAAGTCCCACCAGGAGCACCTGCACAAGAGGTGCTAAACAGTTCTGCAGAGTGTGTCCCCGTGCACCAACTTCTGTGCAGTTAAAAATGTCATCTCTTGCCCTGCAAATCTGTAGCTTTGCTGTATTTAATAGTTGTGAACTTTAATTGATGGGTTGTGTCAGCTGGAGACCATAAACTCCCTGGGCAAGCAGGGCGATGGCAGATTATGATCCAAATAATCCTGTTGTGGTGCTTTATTAAATGTTTTTAGATAAATGCAGCATGTTTCATTAAAATGAAATCCCTGCAGGAAGCAGAACTCTCTGAGCTGATTTTATTTTAGAGTGGGGAACTCAGCTTATTATTGCACAGAATTATTTATAATCTGTCAACAGACAGCAGGCTCCAGTGGTCTGACAAAAGTACTACTTTAATTTTTGAGAAGTTAAAACAAAGGTACGGACACTAATAGGCACTTTTAAATTCTAATCAGCAGTAGAGGGGGGAAAAACTTTTATTAAAAGTATTTAGGGGATTGCAGTGGCGAGTTGTGGAAATCCTGTTATTGAGGATCCAGGCTCCATCTCTCTGTTGCATTGTGTTGAGATCTGAGTGGGCTTGGGGCAATAGGGTCTGAACATTTGAAACAGACTCAATGAATATTTTTTGATCTTGTGGTGTAGTTGTGTCCCTGCATATATTTTGTGAATTACCTTAAAGAGACCCAAGGATTTAGACAGCAGCAAGTACAGGACAAATCAGAAGGAACTTTCATAGCACGTACAATATCCAGTTTTCTGACAGTTCCTAGAGCTTTGGAATTTTCTATTTAATCCTACAATGAGCTCAAGAACCTTTCTTTCATCCTCAGTGTGTTTTCAATGTAATTATTTTAATGCCCACAAGTAAGTAATACGATGGAACTAAAAGTAGATTGCTTTGTGGAGAGGATGGGCGTGGTAAATTTAATGCATATTTTGAAAAATGACAAATGGGGAAGAACATGCACAAACATCAAAAAGGTCTGCCTCGAAGCAGATCTGATCCTCTTCTTCAGTACGACTCCTTGATTTTAAAGAGAGATCTATTAAAATATATTAGTATATGAAATGATGTTAATTTTCCTCTGCTTATTAGAGTCCTTTGCTCCGTTTGAGCGTGCTCGTTGCACAACAGATGCAGTGTAGAAGGGCTACATCTGACCTTAGCTCTTCATGTAATTACATTTAAGCAAAATCCTTTAAATCCATCCCTGTTTCTTTCACAGAAACTCGTGTTCCCGAGGTTCCCAGTTCCCTGCATGTCCGCCCGCTCGTCACCAGCATCGTGGTGAGCTGGACACCGCCTGAGAACCAGAACATTGTGGTGAGGGGCTACGCCATAGGGTATGGCATTGGCAGCCCCCATGCACAGACCATCAAGGTGGACTATAAGCAGCGGTACTACACCATTGAAAACTTGGGTAAGGAAGGAGAAGGAACAGTAGTGCCCACAGTTCACCTGCATGCACATCACCGTGTCCTAATTGGGGTAGTTACTTATAGGTAAATAAATCTACATGCATGGTTTTAAGAGGGTTTTTCCATATTCAGCTATTATACTGGATGCCAAAGCACTGATAAATTTAAAATAAAATTCAATTTGCTGATGATAAAGAGGCAGAAGAATAAGAAAGGAAAAAAAAACAACAACAACAACAACAACAAAAAAACAACAACACAAACAAACCCTGAATCCTAAATTCACCAAGTTTGAAGCACAGTGCATCTTGATTTGAGGCTTCCTCCAATGCTTATTATAAAAACTCCCATGCTGAGCAGCATTCCCTTAGTCCGCTTCTGGGGCTGCAGAATGGGTGACTTCAGGCAAAGAGGAAATTCAGATGTCACCGAGACATTTCAAATTTAGTCCAGTTATTTCATATATTTTCATTGAAAAAAAATAAAGTACTGAACTTGGGATTGTTTGGTCTGGAGAAGAGGAGGCTCAGGGGAGACCTTGCTCTCGACAACTCCCTGAAAGGATGTTGGAGTGAGGTGGGGGTGGGGTTTGGTCTCTTCTCCCACGTTACTAGCAACAGGACAAGAGGCAATGGGCTGAAGTTGTGCCAGGGGAGGTTTCAATTGGATATATTGGCTATTAGGAAGATCTCTTTCTTGCGAGTGTGGTGAGGCCTTGGCCCAGGCTGCCCAAGGAGGTGGTGGAGTCACCATCCCTGAGGGGTTCAAAAAATGTGTAGACACGGCACTAGGGATCATGATTCAGTGGTCATGGGAGTGCTGGGTTGGTGGTTGGACTTGATGACCTTAGAGGTCTTTTCTACCCTTAAGGATCTGATGATTCTAACAAGGCAAGTATGGAGAAGCAGAAAAGAGACCTTTTTTTCTACCAAGACCTTTTTTTTCCCCTTCAGACCCCAGCTCCCACTACGTGATAACTCTGAAGGCCTTTAACAACGTGGGCGAAGGGATCCCGCTGTACGAGAGCGCGGTGACCAGGCCTCACTCAGGTACGGCCCGCGGCGAGCTGGAGCCAGCAGGGGCAGCCTCCTGCCTCCCGCCTGCTCCTGAAACCCCAACAACCCGGCTCCTCGGGGAGGAACTAAACTCGCCCTCCAACTGCCCGGGGACATTCCGACTGCAGAGCTGCCCTCACGTCGTGTGGCGCGGTTCCGAAGGCGCGACCCACCGGCCGGTGTTTATGGGCAGCTGCGGAGGGTTTTCAGTCCGTCACCCCGAGATTTTCCATAGGACACCTGTGTTTTCTTTGTCCCAGTCTCGGTCTGCTGTCACTCGCACTAAGCAAATTCTTGACTTATTTTTTATTGTCTTGTAATACACGAATACATGATTTTAAGCAGAGAAATCTGCTACACTGAGCTGTTCCTATGGTGTGGCTCGCTGGGCTCCCTCCTAGACTGTTGTCTTGTGTCGGTGTCAACACTTCTGCTTGTTTTAGTCTCCTGAAGAGCAGAAATTCATCTAGATTTTATAGAGGACCCTGGAATTTCAGTTTCCTCAGCTATTTTAAATTTGTACAATACCCAGAACTTGACTGCCGTTCCTAGTCTTCAAAGGGTGATGGGAGCTCCCTGTAATTTTCATCAAGTGACATTTACTGGCCCAGAAGTCCAGCTCTTTTTTCCTCTTCCTTGTTTTCTGGAAGAGGAATCAGTGGGCAGTCTGAGGCAAATAAAGTCATCAGAGTTAAAAGTCTTGTTTGTTTGGGGTTCCAAGGCCATGGCTAAATACACTAAACACTAATATGATTTAGATGTTTATATATATTAGCATATATATGTTGTCTTGCTGTCTTAAAGGAACACAATGCAAGAGTAATTGTATTAGCCAGTCTTATGTCGCTTATTAACTCTGGCTTTTCTCTCTTTCTCTCCATTTCTCACCTTTCATTTCATTGTACTACCCTGCATTTCCCCTTTTTTGTTTTTGTTTACATTAAACTGCCACCTTCTCCCTTTTTAATTATAATACATTACTTTTTACCCATCAATTCCCTAGACACTTCCGAGGTTGATTTGTTTGTTATTAATGCTCCATACACTCCAGTGCCAGATCCATCTCCCATGATGCCCCCGGTGGGAGTTCAGGCTTCCATCCTGAGCCATGACACCATACGGATCACTTGGGCAGACAACTCTCTGCCGAAGAACCAGAAGATCACGGACGCTCGCTACTACACCGTGCGCTGGAAGACCAACATCCCTGCCAACACCAAGTACAAGGTATGGCAGTTCCACAGCACCAACCTGGCTGCGTCGCCTCAGTGGGGAGGTTTTGTGTCTAAGTGAGGGTTAGGTGGAAGCTGAGAGGAAGACAGCGGTGTAGAGGTTTAATAAAACTGGGCTTGGTTTCATTTGAGATGCCTGGGCTGAGTTCATGTCAGTACAGCTCAGTTACAGCATTGATTCAAAGTGGGGCTACAGGAAAGTTGGGGAAGGACTTCCTACAAGGGCTCATAGAGATAGGACAAGGGGTGATGGCTTCAAATGGGAAGAGAGGAGATTTGGATTGGAAATGAGGAAGAAGTTCTTCACTCTGAGGGTGGTGAGACAGGCACAGGTTGCCCAGGGAAGCTGTGGATGCTCCATAACTGGAGGTGTTCAAGACCAGGTTGGATGGGGCTTTGAGCAACCTGCTCTAGTGGGAGGTGTCACAGCCCATGGCGGGGGGGGTTGGAACTAGGTGATCTTTAAGGTCCCTTCCAACCCAAACCATTTGATGGTTCTATGATTCTTCTAGATTGGGTGGGAATAGTTGGGTTTGTGACCTCTTTGCATATGTGTGTGAAAGAGATCAGGGTGGGGTGTGAGTGTCTGAGTGGAGGAGCTGCCTCAGGGGGAAGGCAGCCAGCTACTTCCAGGATTACCTCCTGCTGTGGAGCCATGAACACAGTGACTATTTCTTCCTCTCTACTTCACCCCACCACCATTGCTTCGTGTGAGGGATGTGGGCTTAAATTCAGAGGAGCCCGTAATGCGTCTCTCAGGCACGTGTTACTAACAGCTTCTCTCTAGTTAGCAGAAGAATCTGAATTTGTGGGGTGAGTCAAGCAGGGAAAATATTTACCCTGACGGTTTTAAGTTTCTTTTTACGACCTTTTCTGTTTATAAGAAGTTGATAGTGAACCTTTCCTTTGGGAACTGAGTGGGTGCAAAATATGTAACAGTAGCTTTATAGCCCTGCCTTCCATGATTTTCGTCTGCTGTTCCAATCTGGAGACTAGGTTTGGGGTTTGGATTGTTTTAGGTGGTGGGTTGGATTATTTGATATTTTTTTTTTTTTTTACTTTCAGAGTTATCTAGAGGCCCAAAAATGCTGACTGCAAATTACACATTTGAAATGAGACTCAGAGGAAATGGTTGTTAAAATATCCAGCTAGTGGAGCTCCCTTTATGCTCTTGCGGAGCAATCTTGTTATAAACCAGATAATTTTTTTTTTTAATTGAAATGAAAAGAGGTATATATGTTCTTCCTCTAAAGGCAAGTTATTTTTGAACCCACCTTCCTGCATCATATGCAGAGGATGTCTTGGGAGTGATTTATATAGTGCTGTAGTTTCATTAGTTAATGCTTAAAAGAACCCACCATCAGTGGTTAATGAAATGCATCCACTGTTCTTGGTGCTGGTGGCCACTGGTCAAGTTGTTATACTGTGGACCAAAAATAATATGTAATGATAGTGTATAGTTCGAAGCTACTCTTCGTAAATAGCATTTGTCTGAAAACACCTGAGTTTGAGAACATTTGCCTTCCCGCAGTGCAGTTCAGCGAGCTGCTGCTTTTCTGTCAGGGCTTTGGTAACTTTACTTGAAGTCTGGGTGTTTCTCACAGACACCTCTAGCACCTTTATTGGTTGCCTGGTTTGAGGCCGTTCACCCAGTTGCATCAGAGCTGCTCTGTTACGCAGACAGAAATTTTATCTTGGTGTCAGATCTCGAGTAGCCAAAGCTACACCTGCTCAGTCTGTTGTTCCATCCATCCCTCTCATCTGTACGCTGGAGGTTGAGAAGTTCATTCAGATGTTCTCCCCATTTGCTCCCCGCTTCTACACCAACATTCACAAACTATTATAAAGAGGCTGCAGGCTTCAAATATTCACTTTGAAGACCTGTATTTTCTTAAATTTTTCTAGGAGTTGTGTCAGTCACGAACACATAAACAGTGGAACAGATGTGATGCAGTTCCTGAAGTGAACAGACTTTGCTGTGCTTTGAACCATGTCATGTCACTGATGTGGATCAGAGAGCCCTTTTCAAAGAACCTTTCTTGGTGGGGCAGAGTTGTCCTGCTCGCGGGCTACCTGCGATTTATCAGTGTGCTCTCAACCATAAGCCAAAATATTAAATCTTAACTTGGATCTTTTAAGGCTGAATGAAAGGAAAATAAATTTTCCAGGGTGATATTTATGAAGTTTATTTCTAGTAGGTGAGCAGGATTTAGTACCACAGGATATATTGTGATCTTAAAAACAGTAAGTGGTGTTAAAAAAAAAATGAAGAAAGGAGAGAAGTCTAATGCTCCAGCTGAGCCTTTCATGTGTCATTTACGTTCCCTGTGATGTGCAGTGAAACTAAAATATACCAAGTGTCAAAGCCACAGATGAAAAATACAACTTCAGGCTGTAAAAAGCATTCCAGCTGCTGCTAAAAAGTAGAATAAACAGAATGGGATGCTTAGGTGCTGTCAGGACTTTCTGTGGGTATTCTGGAGAGGAAGAAATGGTGCTTCTCAGGGGGTATGTCAGCTTGTCATGCAAGTCGCTAGAAGCTTTCTCCTTTGGACTTGGCCGCAGGCCTTTGCTCCCCTCCTGTGCTAGGGAGGTTGTGCTCAGTCCAGCTCAGCCTCTGAACTTGTAAGAGCTGTCCTGCTCTGCGCTGAAAAGTTGGAACCATTTGGCCACATCACAGTTGCTTGGAAACCGCACTGAGCTCGTATCAAGGAAAGGTTTAAAGTTAATGGAGGATTTTATTTGAAGCGGCTTTATGATGCCTTTGTTGTCTGTCCACCCCTGTGATGACAAGCTGGCAAAACATGTCTGAGAACAAGCAAAACACGTTGTACAGATGGAAGCATCGCTTGTTAATGGTTTTCTGAGCTTTCACCTGGTCTAAGCATAAAACCTGTCACTATACCTGAGAAATACGGAGTTTCCTTGCAGAATCCAGGCTGGATTATCCACAGCCTTCAAGAAATGTGGCCCTTCCTTGAAAATTATTTAGCTGGAAAGAGTTGTTTTCTGAAGGCAGTCGTTGTGTACAGTCGTCGTATGGCCCCCCGAGATAGTGAAGCAACTCCCTCTTTAATGCTGTGTTTAGATCACTGTAGATCAAGGTAAAGAGTATGTGTAGATAGATCTTTTTTTTTTTCCCCCATAGGCCTCAAGTGCATTCTGTTCATGTTCAAAGTCATGTGCAAACAAATATCAGCTGATTTAACCAAAAGGTTGAAGATTCTGGCAAAATGGCCGAGTTACAAATTCCACTTGAAACCATGTGTAGTTTCAGTGTGCGATCCTAGATAATAGTTTTTTGGCAAAAATCAACATATTAGTAAAGCTTCATTAACAGCAAGTCTGAGCACCGGAACCTGCACCTGATTTATTTTTTTTTAAGTAAATTTACTGAAAATTCTAGCAGGAATTTGGGCAGCAGACAGCGATTTCAAGGCGTGTTATTGTTAGCTGTGCTTTATTGTTTTCCCTAGCCAGGCCAGTTAATGACATGCTGTAAATTAACCCCCCCAAGCAGAGAGTGATGTAGCCTGCTGCATAACAAGTGTGCCCAGGACCTCGTGTTGCTTTTTTTTTAAATTTATAATTGACTCCTATTAAATGCTCTTGCTGATTGCAGAAAGGATTTCTAGTTTAGGATCAAACTACTGCACATTAAGACTTGATTCATGAATTTGCATGACAGAGCAGAAATGTTACAGAATTAATGGCTGTGGTTATGAAAATGTAGCAACGCTAAAATGTTTTAAACACTTCCCCAAGCCAAGGGCTTTTGAGAGCTGCTGGTGGATAGTTTTCAGCTCAGAAGTTACTGACTCTCTGTTTTTCTTTCAGACTGCAAACGCGACCACTTTGAGCTATTTAGTGACTGGGTTAAAACCAAATACTTTGTATGAATTCTCCGTGATGGTGACTAAAGGTCGAAGATCCAGTACTTGGAGTATGACAGCACATGGGACAACTTTTGAATTAGGTACTTTTTCATGTCTTTGTGGAGTTCCTGACGAGACGAATCAAGTCGAGTCTGCCAGAATTCTGGAGGAGGGAAAGCATGTATTTAAAACTATTATGCTGATGAATCTTTGTTGGGGGGGTTCTTTTCTTTAGAGTGCAGTCAGAAATTCTGATTAAAAAACAACAACATACTTCAAAATTCAAAGGGATGATTGCACGCAAAAGAATTTACATCAAATTACAGAGAAGTAATGAATAATGTACCACAGTTCATGGGCAGGAGAGAATAACGAAGCCTCTGCTTGAAACCTCTCAGAGCACGTTAATAGTAAATACAAAGAAAATACTCGAGCAAATAAAAATTAAAATCTGCTGTATTTATGATGATGATTATTACAGAGTGAGGAAGTGCATGAGGCAAATGACTGAAAAATAATCCCAGGAGAACTGCAGACAATCCAGGTCAGCCCTAAATCCCTGTTCTTCCATAGGAATTGCTGCTGCAACCCTCGGAGCTGTAGGAAGGACGCGCTCTAAAGCACAGAATAGAAAAGGGGTCATAGCTGCCACGAGGAACTTTGGCCCAGAACCTCTCTCCCTCTCCCAGACCATCCCTCATTAGCTCTTTTTATCCTGCAGTGCTAAGTAATCTTTGTGCAATTCAGTTTACTGCTTATTATGGCTAGGTTTCTCTTTATATGAACTCTAAGGACAAAAAAGAGCCTGTCCAAATGACCCCGTAGTTCTCATGCTAAATTAAAGTAGAGCAGCAAAATCAAGCATGCAAGAATGGGTGAGATCATCCAGATATTCTAGAACAAGGCATAAGAAAAAGCAAAACCGGGATAAAATCAGAAATCTCTGACATTACTCTGCAGTCCCCTGAACTCTATTGAAAACATTGTCTTTGGGGATTCCATGATGTGGGGCCAGCTGCCATTCCAACAGCACAGGTCTGTTTTTTCCCATTCCAGTTACTGTGCCCATCCCATGTTAAAACCTTCTATTCGGTATTTTGGCTGACACTTGTACTGCTCACATCCATAACTCTGCAGCAAGAACAGGGACTGTGAAAGTTGCAGAAGTAAAGTTCTTGAACGAGACCTTGAAACTCGGAAAAAGAACAGGAGCGAGGATGAGATACAGGAGGTCTCATTTCTTTCCATTTAAATAGAAAGTAAATTTCTAGTTGGCGTGGCTGGAAAGAGTATTTGCAAGTCTGACCTACAAGCTTGGAAACAAAGAAGCAAATATAAAAATCAAAAAAGGCCAAGTCTGTTTTCTCCTAACAGATCGTGTGATTTATATCACTCGCCAAATTCCTGAGCGCGTGACTCATTATTTTTGAATACTCTTTGAGTAGCAGCGTTGTAGAGGACTCGCTCCTCAGCTAACACCAGCAAAAAATACAGGACACTGGGGTTAGTGTTGGTCCCCGTGTTGGCAATCTCTTGTGAGGTAGCTGGATTTTTTTTATTTTTCCTCTCTGAAGCTTACTGTAGGGCCTCAAGTCATGCTTTACGTCTGTATGGTTCTGTTGAGCGTGGTTTTGAGTATTTGCCTTTTCCCAGAGCAGCTCGTGCCATTTCCTGAACCTGGGGCAGGAGGAGGCTGATGGAGAAGGAGCTGCTCTCCCCCTCTCCCTCAGTCTTTACTCTCCAGCAGCCCAGGGAAAAAGGTCGGACAGTTGCCATTAGCAAGCATTTCTAGATCTCACACGCTTCTGTGTTGCAGATTTCCTTGCAAATCACAGGTCATTCCTACACTGAAGTAAATCAGTAATTACGGATTATGATTTTAAATCTCTGGTGAAGTGACATTGCTAATTTGGATTTGAGTGGCAGAATAGTATGACCAGGTCTTGGCCCCATTATAAACCTGAAAATATGGAGATATGTCATATGTCTGTGCATGCAGAATGTATTCATTTCAGAAGTTCATCTAGAACCTCATCAGAAGGCTCCTGGGAGACCTTATTGCAGCCTTCCTGTATCTGAGGAGTGTCTACAAGAAAGCTGGACAGGGACTTTTTACAAGGGCTTGTAATGATAGGATGAGAGGTGATAGCTTTGAACAGGAAGAGGGGAGGTTTAGATTAGAAATGAGGAAGAAGTTCTTCACTCTGAGGGTGGGAAGACACTGGAACAAGTTGCCTGGGAAAGTTGCTGGAGGTGTTCAAGTCCAGGCTGGATGAGGCCTTGAGCAACCTGCTCTAGTGGGAGGTGTCCCTGCCCATGGCAGGGGGCTGGAACTAGCTGGTCCCTCCCAACTCAAACCAGCCTATGATTCTATGATCTAATTTTTAAGATGACTGAAGAAATTCAGGTTAGAAATTCAGTCACTGACTCCAGCTGTTGGAGTTGTACAGAGATACCGTGGTTTTGAGGACGTGTCCAGTCATGGATCACATCTGTTGAGGGAAGTGCCTTAGAAACAGGTAGTTCCCTACGGAAAGGAGATGCTGCCCAGAAGCTGACGCGTGCCAGCTGGACGGAGTTACATCCGTGAGACCACTGATGGTGGTAGGTTTATTTGAAGAGTGAACATTCAGAGCTGTTATTATTGGATGTGCCCTTTTTTCAGTGGTAACACAAATAAAGAGCAAAGGTGCCAAGGTTACTTGGTTTTGTATCCAGTGAAAATGGGCAGCCTCTTTCTGATCGTCTGGTTTTTATTTGCTTGCAGTTCCCACTTCTCCTCCCAAAGACGTGACTGTGGTGAGCAAAGAGGGGAAGCCTCGGACAATAATTGTGAACTGGCAGCCTCCGTCCGAAGCCAACGGCAAAATCACAGGTGCAGTCTGCACGGGCAGCAAAGCCGGGTGTAAGGTGCCGGGTGAACAGCAGAAAATAACCCATGACTCTGAACGTGTCCCGTGCTCCGGTTAGCCCAGAGCTAGCCACGAGGCCTCTATCTGCTTTGCCAATCTTTTTAGTAGCTCAGATTAATTATTTACTTTTGTACCTAGTGAAAATATGTAAAGATATAAAGTAACTGCAGTGTGAAATTGGAGTCTAACCGGAACTATAATTGGAAGTTTAAATATCTCGATGACCTTTGCCTTCATCAGCTTGTGCTATTCTAATAGCATGCCTCCGGAAATACATCTGTAATGCCTCTAGCCCATCAGTATTTTATTTAGAAGAATTCATCCCAGTGCTCTTTTTCATCTTGGTGGTGTTTTTGTGGCACGGAACAGGCTTCAAATCAGTTTATGAGTCCCCTGACATAACCATTAGGAGTAAAATCTTATTTGCCTTTGTAACCACATCGCTTCCACGTTGGGTAAATCATTTTTCAGAAAATAATAATTGCTGTTTCCCTTCTATACTTCCTGCTTGGATTCCCATTTCTAAAGGCTTCCTGAAATAATTCACTTCAATTTTCCTTTTTTTACCCCAGGCTTTAAGTCTAAAGCAAATTTTACTGGCATCCAGTTTGCAGTGTACAGTTTTGCTTTTGTTCTTGGAATTAGCTACAGTGCAGAACCAAACCTTTGAAACCTGGCACGTGATGAGGCAGTACCTGATTCAAGACAGAATAAACCAGATGATCCCTCTGAAAAGGCAGGATACAGGAGACTCTCCACCTTTAGTAACTAATTACAGTAAACCTTTAAGCTTAGAAAGCCAATTCTTTGTTGGTTTATTATCAGCAAGATGCTTCCTAGAGAAACAAGAGCTTTTATCTTAGCTGTGGAGGTTCCATGTCTTAAACTGAGGGCGTACAAGAGAAAGGGAAAACAATGTACAAAGAGGTGAGCGTTTAGAGTGTTGGTAGGAAAATTCTCACACACGTTCAATTTTCCAGGTAAAAACTCTCCTTGGGATGCCTGTACCGTGAAGGAGAACCTTGCATTTATCCATAGGCCTGGAATGAAAGCACCTAGTATCTTAGTTTTTGTGTAAGCAGCAGCTGGCAGCTGAAACCCAGCCTGAGCCCTGGTGAGCGCAGCAGCACCAGGTGCGTGGGCCGAGTGCCCCCGTGTGGGGAGAGCCCCCGCCGCGGAGCAGCAGCCTGCTGCTCATTAATTCCTCGTTAATGCCTCATTAACTCCGCCCGGTGCTAATGCCCTACACGGGACAAGGTGCTGTAGCTCCGCGCACTGCAAGACTTGTCCCCTCAGCTCCAAGCTGCTTTTGCCATGGATGTGAAGTACTGAGCCGTGCCAGGCTGGGTTCCAGGGGCTTGGGCATCGTTAGAGCTGCTGGCTCATTAGTACAGACACAAGTTAATGCAGTAGTCTTGTGCCACTTTCTGTAGAGAGTGGGACGAGGGAAGCAGCAATTTGTGCCTGAATCAGCTGATGACCCAGCGCTGTATTGGTGCAAGGATTTATTTTATTTTGCAGCTCTGTGTGTCTTAGATAAAAAAGTGACAAAGCTTTTGCTTCATAGTGGTTTGTAACAGCAGTATATTTTAGTAACAGAACATAAACTCTTCCCCTACCTTTTTTTCTCCTGTGACATGCAAGATAACTTCAGTTCTCTTCAGATTGTTAATAAACTGAAAAATAATAAACACATGTTCTGTAGCTGTGCAGGACAATGTTTTGTTGTTTTAACATCAACTATTTTCTATCAATATTGATACCTTGGGGCTGTTCTAGTAATAACAGCTTTATGTTAAAATAACATTATTTGGTCTATGAACAGGTAAAGAGAGGGAAATGAGGAATTTCTTCAGATTGACTCATCAAAAATAATGTTGATATTTTAAATGGATTTTTTCCTTTTAATGTATGCTTTAGAACAGGCTGAAATTTAAGATGGGAAGGCTGTTGGGTATTTGAACATATTCTTAGTGTTTGAAAAAGACAGACCATGCTTTCAGAAAACATTGAACTGTGCAACTATCACTGAAAGTCAATCGAACGTTTTCTGGGAGCTCTTAGGACTCTCCTGTTCTTTTATGTGTGAAATTCTTTTGCTTTTCCTTTGACTAGGATACATCATTTACTACAGCACGGACGTGAACGCCGAGATACATGACTGGGTTATTGAGCCCGTAGTGGGAAACAGGCTGACCCATCAGATACAAGAGCTGACCCTCGACACACCCTATTATTTCAAGATTCAGGCCCGCAACTCCAAGGGCATGGGGCCCATGTCCGAGGCGGTTCAGTTCAGAACCCCCAAAGGTAAATTGTCACCTACACCTAAACTCCCATCCTCCCCATTTATGTTGGAACTGGAGAAGAGTAGGACAATGGAGTTTGACTGGAATGAAATTTTCTCTCGGGTTGCTCTTGTGTGCAGTTAATAGACATGCAAATGTTGCCCGGCTGTTGGATTAATGGGGTTGTTTCGGACTTCCTGGTGGGCACTTGGCTCATTGTTGTTTCTGCTGAGGGGCCAGTGCTGATCTGCTTTAAGACTGTGGGTGCTGTGTGTGTGAAGCGGGGAGAGGCAGCCGGCTCCGGGGCTGACACCACCGCTCTCCAGGGGCAGGGGTGAGGTGGTGGGAACCAGAGACACGACAGGCTCTTTGGTCCAGGGCCGCTTGGTGATGGGTGACTAGGGAAACCATACACATGCTGGGTGGCTTCGGAATAAACCTCTAAGGAGAGGGGAGAAATTCTGATGAGATTTTTTAACAGTGCTTTTTCCACATGAGTCTGGGTGGTCAGAAATGAGAGCTCTAGTTAGTGTGCTTAAGCTACGTGAAACTCTCTCTTGCTTCTTCAAGCCTTGTGATCTTTCTCTTGTTTTTTCCTTCCCTGTGCTTGTCCTGCTAGCCGAATCCTCAGATAAAATGCATAATGATCAAGGTAAATGAATAGCCACGCATTCTCTTTCATTCCATCCTTCGCATGTGTTGTTTTTCCTATCCATGAGCCGTTGCATTTCCTAAATGAGACAAATATCTGCTGCTTTGGCTGTAAACGAGCCAGTTCCTGTTGTGCTTTTAGTAGTGGAAGAACTGAAAGATCCTATTTGTGGTTTGGGTGCTAGGAATATAAAGTGATCTCTGCAGTCAGCTGTCACGTGAAGGGACAGGCAGGTTGTGCCAGAGCTGAATCATTCTGTCAAAATGAATTTGGATTAAGTGATGCTCCAGCCAGCCTCTGACCATTGATGCAAGATGTCAGGACCTAGAGGTGGAAGATCAAACAGTTCTCTAATTAGCACAAGTGCTGCTTTGTCAGCTCTGCATCTGTAATTATTTCCATAAGAAAGGAAAGTCTGCCTGCTCTAGAAAGCTTTTTTTGCAGGAGAGATTCTGCTTGTCAGCTCATTTAGGCTCCAGACTCTCCCAAAGAGCAGCGCATTAGCTACTAAAAGCCTTAAGGTTTTAAAATGCTAGCTGGAAAAATGGTAGCTTTGAGTTTACTACATTGAATTATAAGGTGAATGTCCCAGGGCTGGTTTTGCTTTCTTCCAAATAACCTACAAGCCCAATAAAAAGAGGTCTAAAGGGATGAGTTTAAAAGGACATTGGCAAGCAGCATAGACATACAATAAATAGGTCCTGAAGGGGGTGACTTGCTTTTCAATTTGTTACATAGGAGTCATTTATTAAATATACCTTTGCTGTCTGTGTACCAAATAAAGCTGATACTAGATGGGTATGGGGTAAATCCATATCTGGACTTGTGTAACAGAGCTGCATGATTCCGGCTGGTCTGCAGGGAAGCAGATGCTCAGTTGCAAGTGGAAGGGAACAGAGGAAGATTAAAAGGTTTTATGTAAAAGTAAAGTGGTGTAAAAGTTGCTGCTTTCTGTTTTGTACTACTCTAACTTCATTTCAGCAGATAACTAAACCTTCCCATCTGTCGTCCTCATCCTAAATATATTCTTCTAGTAAAAATTTTGTTACCGTTTATCAAGCTATATAATGTATAAATCATAAAGCCCTACATAAAAGCCAAGAGTTGTCTCACAGTTTGTATAAGACCACTCTGGGAGATGATAAACCATGGCAGTACGTTGAGTGTAGCAAAGGAGAAGATGGGCTGAAGAGCAGCAACCCCTGCTCTGGGACAGTGTCCCCAAATACCTAGCAGTGTGTAGCTACGTGTACGTAGTAGCTACGTGCCAGGTAGCAGCGAGGCTTGTGGTGCCTGACCTGCACCCCTCCTGCACATGTGGACTGCAGGGCAGGTCAGCTTTTAGGTCATCTTCTTATCTACTCCATTATTTTATGTCATCTCTAACTCCAGGAGCAATTCTTTTCATTTTATTTCTTGGTGTTATTAAGGATATTGTATTACACTTGGCTGGCACAGGTCTTTGCAGAACTCATTAGAAATATCCCAACAATGTTGCTGCAATTATAATTCTTATCAGTTAATTAGCTGTTAGTCTTGTTAATATGTGCCACATTGCTTTTTTATGATGCTGCTTTCAATAAAGCATTGTACAGGACTCAGTAAAATGTTTTATGGAAGTCTAAATACAGTATGTCTGCACAGTTGCTATTACCAACCCAACTGAGAGCCTGGCATTTAGTTTGTTGGAAAAATACCGTCTTTCCACACAAGGGAAAGGTGGGCAGAGGGCATGGCACCACCTCCTACCCATCCCCGTGTCTATGATCTTGCCTGGGTTAGGGCGCCAGCTTCTGCCCTAAAAATGCACAGGATGTCTATGGATCCTTTTTAACTATTGCCAGTTGTTTTCATTCACCCCTTCTCCTCCAGCTTCTCTGGTGTCCCAGCGTAACTTCAGCACCAGGTTCAGTGACTGAGAGAATTCATCTAGGGGGTTGTTCACGTCTTTTCAGTGCGAGTTATCTGGTCATGCAGATGACAACATATTAAACATAAGCTGTTTAAAATGCTGTTAAATTATTTCATTGCTGCTGCAAAATTATTAGTCCAGTACTTCAAGAAGAGAACACGTTCTCCCTGAACGCAGTGTCCTCTCTAGGCTGGCAGGTGCAATTATAGATTGTCCTGCAATACTTTTTTTCCATTATTTAAACTATATCTAACTCCTCACTGTGTAATGTGGAACATTCCCTCTTACCCTTCCCGGGGCTTAATCTGTATTCTTGCTGGTACCTTCTCCTGGTTTGGTTTTACCAATTCTCTCCATTTCATGGTGACTAATTTACAAGCCTTGACTCGATGCTCACAATTTCCATTTGTTGCACATCCCTTAACTCTTACTACTTCTTTATTAGAGTGGATTTTGAATGGAGAAAATCCTGTTCCTGATTGGGAAACTGCCAAATTTGCAGACTTTTGGGGTTCTTGCGGTATTGCCTTTTTGTGCAAAACTGTAAAAATGTCTAAAGGACTATGGACTCCTAGAACCAATGGAATCGGTTTTTCCTTTGCATCTCACTCTGTGTTTCCCCTACCACAGTCTTCTTACCATTCGTGGTCGTTTTGCATCAGTGCATTTGAAAGAAAGCACAGAAGTTGTGTCTCTTTTCGCATCCTGCTAACGATGCAAACCTCAGGAGAGGTCTTAACGTTAGAGGTGAACTTGTGGCGTTGTGCCTCTTGCTGTGGCAGCCAGGGGTGTAAATTAGACATGAATTAAGCAAGGGGAAGTGCTTGTTAGAGTGAAAAGAGGAGAGGGTTTCAGCTGGGAGGTTGCTCATGCGGGCTCAGGAGGGGCTCTGTGATTTGCCTTGGTTTGTAATAACTGAGGTGCAGATCTGTTTACTTCCCTTGTCAGCCTACACACTTAAAGCTTTGAAACCAGTTAATTTGTTTTCCCTGGTTTCACCAGAAATATCTCAGTGATACCTCATTGTGGCAAAGGTGGAACAAACAGAAAAGAATGGGGAGAAGTGGAAAGCAAGTTTTTATGGACAGACAGGGACTTAATATTATGTTGACTGTGCTTTCGATCCTCCACTCACCTAATTCCTAATTGGGTATTAGGAACAGAAACCTGTATAATTACTGTTTCAACTTGATTAACTGTCTGTACAAGCGTGGCAAAGCTATTTGCCTTAATATAAACCTGTGTGTTACTGCAAATCATTATTATTTTATGTTTAAAAATACTAGGATATACTAGAAATACTAGGAGAGGCTCCTAAGCTTACAGTAACACAGAAAACTAACTATTAAATTGCTCTTTTGAAGGAGTGGTTCTCCTGAAGAAACACAGTTACTGTCCAAAGCCAAGTCATGTTGTAGGAGAGAGAAAAGGAGGAAGGAAAAGAATGTTCAGAGAGGTTCTCAAAGAGCTACCTTAGAAATGCTAAAGTGTGTGTGTGTATCTATGTGTATAAATTTACCACATCTATGGCCTTTCCAGCTTCAGGATCTGCAGGGAAGGGAAGCCGTGCAGTGGACATAGGACCCGATTACAAACCACCTCTTGGGGGTAAGTGGTGCTGTGAAGCTCGTCAGCTGAAATGCAGTGTCCTGCTGCTTCACCGAGCGATGCGGTGGCCTGCTGAAAATACTGATCATATCTGTTCACTAACTTTTTCTCTTTGTGACAATAGTTGTCCCCACTCCAGAAGCTGTCTCGTGCTTCTGTCAGAGTGTTCTCGCCTGCTGTGTGGGGTATATGGAGAAAATACTGTGATGTGCCTTTACATCTGTCTTGATAAGCAGACCTCGATTCTCAGTTTGGTTTTAAGTGGCTGCTACAGTGTGCAAGTATAAAAATAATTCAGAGAGAACATATTAGGAAGGAAAAAAATAATCTTAACTCCTTGACCTTATTAGCACTGAGCCCTGCGGAAGCCTTGCCCTAAGGTCCCACTCCCTGGCCTCCCGTTAAACGTGTTTCTGATCCTGACACCAGCTCATGGGGCTGCTGGGTTTGGGGGTGCCTGTAGTGCCAGTTAAAGTCAAGTCCCCACTTAACTCTCCATAGACTCTGAGCTATCGGAGTTTTTTATGATAGCTATTTGAGTAGGGCAAACATATATTTTTATAGACTGTGAGCTGGAAATGGATCTATAAAGCATGTGATAGATTTAACAGTTGTACAGGAACGCGAGTGGCAAATGAACATTAAGGAGTCAAGCATGTCAGCTGAAATCCTGACAGAGAAAGCATCTTTCTCCTGCTACTCTGTGTGTTTCTAGAGGTTTTGGATGGTCACTGCTTTTAACAGGGACTTTTTCTGTCTCGTCAGTAATGCCCTTCTCCCATCTCAAACCCTTCCAGGCAGCAACAGTCCACATGGCAGTCCGACTTCTCCCTTGGACAGCAACATGCTCCTTGTAATCATAGTGTCTGTTGGAGTGATCACCATTGTGATCGTGGTGATAGTCGCCGTCTTCTGCACCCGTCGTACAACTTCTCACCAAAAAAAGTAAGATGGCCAGGTGGCACTTTGCCCTGTCCTACTTTTCTCACTTAATTCTGTTATTTAATCTTTCCTTTATGATGCTTTAGAGTTCATCACTTTGAAGCCTTGGGGGCTGTGAAGTTGTGTTCTGACAGCAGATCAGGGATGGAGTTTGAATTCCAGTGTTCAGCAGATAACGTGCATGAGTACACGCTATCATGTGTGTGGTGATGATGATGATGATTTGGTTTTCCTAATCAGTGTTTCAGAATTTACAAGCCATCAAGAGTTCACAGGCAGACTAGGGCAGTACTTCCATATACCTGCCCTTGCCCCTCTCCAAGGAGAAATTGTTACAAATCTTGTTTCTGAACTCGAGCCAATACATCTGTTTAGAGCTGTGAGAGCTCAACAGCTCAGGCAGGTTCTCACTTCTAGTCTTAGCATGTCCTTCACCATGTGCAGCAGGTTTACAAGCTGGGTGCAATAATAGCCTATTTGTAGATAGGTTACTGAGATGGAATCTGAACTTGGTGCTGGACTCCTCAGAAAAATGGCCCCAAATCCAAGATGTGTGTACCTGAATTCTTCCCTCATTTAGAGCATCTGAATTAAGACCACAGCAGCAATGCTGCCTTTTATAGGCTCTTGAAGATTGTCTCTGTGTCTTCTTTGAAAGAACTGAACAGGGCTGAAAGCTTGCTTTAAGCTTGAAAAGACTCTGTTAAGCAAACCAGAGTTTTAAGAAAGTGATTAAAAGCCAGGCTTAGAAGACAACCTCCACGTGCTTTGCTGAAGCTGAACCATTCTGCAAAACCACAAGTTCTTGAGGAGAGGAGAGGAGGATATGTGAGTGGTGGTCCAGCAACTGGGGAATATGCTTGGGAGGGGGCAAAATTCATGAGCCTGTGACCAAGAGACACGTTTTGTTTTCAAAGAGCAGAAACAACCCTGTGAAATCTTGCCTTTGTTGCCCATTTCTAAGTGCCACTTGTCCAATGTGCAGGAGCCCCCAGCCAGTGGGCAACATTCTGCTCTGTTCCCCTCATTCAGCTACAGAGCTGAGAGCAGGGTGCCAGCAGCACGTCTGCTCTGACTCGCCTCCCTGCGGGACTCTGCTCATTGGTGTTTTCAAAATGGTGTGTGGTTGAGGAGGGAACTCTGCATTCTCCTCTTCCAGCACTCCCATCGTGCCAGATGTCTGCTCCCAGTCAGCTTGCTGCTGCTGCTAGTCAACAGCGATGAAAGAGCACGTTGGTTAGATGTGTCTAACCTGAGCAGTGGTAAAATGAGTGTTCTTGTCATTAACCTTCAGAGTTAACTGTCCTGTTGGAATAATTGGCTGTTTGCACACTCCTCCTCCAGCTGTTGCTGGAAGTTGGTTGTAAGCCCTGGAGCCCCGGCCCAGCATGACGTACGTCCACTTCACATTTAGAATATTCTCTTAATAACCATAAGGACTGGAAATTTAATTTTTGTTAACGGAGGCTTAGACCGTAGAGCACAGCTCTGCAGCATGTGGTAGCATCTGAGACAAATTTCATGGCATCAGAGTTGCGGAGTATGCTTTGAGGTGTCAGATGTGCTCACATGTAAAACTCAAAGCTTCCTGCCCAGTGGGTAGCACTGCTCAGCTGGATATGAGAGCTGGAGGAAACCTTGGTGCAAATTTGCCTTGTTCAACAAGTGAAGGGAAGCCTCCATCTGAAAACCTGCCACTTGTTTTCCTCCCCAAGGAAACGAGCTGCCTGCAAATCAGTGAACGGGTCCCATAAGTACAAAGGAAACTCCAAAGATGTCAAGCCTCCTGACCTTTGGATCCATCATGAAAGACTGGAGCTAAAACCCATCGATAAATCTCCAGATCCCAACCCAATCATGACAGACACCCCAATCCCTCGCAACTCCCAAGACATCACCCCCGTTGATAATTCTATGGACAGCAACATCCATCAGAGGCGGAATTCCTACCGAGGTGAGCTAGCAACAAGTGCTTTGACCAGGCTGTTTAAACTTAAATACGTTCTACCTTTATGTAGTGAATGCACTTTAATGACATATTATTCCATTACCCTTATCTCTTTTTATTCTTATTTTCAAAGTAGTGAATTGGGTTTATGCCCAGTTTATAAGGCTCTGTGAAAAGGATGGATCACAACTTTTAGTGAGAAAACCGACCCTCCAGGAGTTATATCCTGAATTTCCTTTGGCAGATACTGATCAGTGATCAGAAGATATCTAACAAGTGTTTGATATTAAGCTTCTGAGAGAGGCAGGTGACATTTTTCAAACCCACAGTCAGGTTTTGGTGCTTTAACCAGTTGCTGCTCTCACATCGTGAGGTGTGGATGAGTTTTCCCTTGGTTAACTGGTTACTCCAGCATGTCTTACCTATAGGTGTGACTCCATACTGCTGCCCAGAGCCCCACTGCCAGGGGCTTGTGCTTGCATCATGTTATGGAGAGTTTCTCCAATAATCTTTACCCTCTTTTCCACCCTCTAGTGAAGGATGAGAGAGCTGTTTTGATCAATTACGAGTCACAGAACTGCTTTCAAACAGAAACTGAGAGGAGGACTGGGATTGCAGTCATCTGGTGTGGTGTCACACAAGTCTTGCTGCGATGGTAAATAACCTTCAGTATTTTTCCTTCAGGGCATGAGTCAGAGGATAGCATGTCCACGCTGGCAGGAAGAAGGGGGATGAGGCCCAAGATGATGATGCCTTTTGATTCTCAACCACCTCAGCGTAAGTCAACAGCCCACCTACCAGCTGGCTTGCAACTGGGAGCACCCAACAAGCCATACTGGTGCTGTATACAACAGGCACACTCACCAACATCCTTCCTACTTTGCCTAAGTGTCTCTGTCCTGTCTGCAGTGGAAGAGTTTAGAGGGGGGCAGCCCCTCGCCTTCAGCAGCAGCTTAATGGGTTCACTTTGGAGTGGCTGTATTCTATTTGCTGGTTCCCTTTATTTTTTGAAACTGAGATTAGTGAAACAGGAGCTACTTTTACAGGATAGAGCTCTAATAGAGGCTGAGGCTTTGTGAGTCTGGCAGAACAGACTCTTAAATCGAGAGGGTGGCTGCGTTGTTGCTTCTTATCTGCATATTTCCTTGTCCCTTAATGATGATTTGAGCAAAAGTGCCAAACTGAAATTTTGTTGAGGCAGTAGAAATATTTTTGAATTATTGTTATGAAATATCTTAAGAATTAAACAATATATGTAGTTGTCAAATGATGACTCTGAGATGGAAAGGGACTTGGCTAAACCTCTGGACAGCTAGACTGGAACCCTAACTTGAAACCACAAGTGGAAAATACAAAAGTTACCAAGCAGTGACAGAACCCTGAGGCCAAATCACACAGGCTGGTCTGGTCTGAGCCTGACGCTCTCCCAGGTATGGAGCCAGGTAATTGCTACCTCAGCCTCTTGTGTTTTATGGAATTATTTCAGACCTGTCCATTACATTTCAACTTTTTAACTTTTGGCTTTATTTACTTGAAGTGCTTGGTTTTCTTGCCCTCTGCCTGCTTTTCCAAGTGTCCTGATGGCTCATTTAGCTCAGCTGATGAATTTTCAACTGTTTCCTTGGTTTCCAACCTTTTTTAGAGTAGTGGGTTTTTCCTTAGTTTTATAATAAGCAGACCCAATGGATACAGTGGTGATAGGTATTTTAGGGAGGCAGTATATTCCAGTTCTACCTTTGGATGGTCTTCAGGCTGACGTGGTCACGCCGGCCGGCTGAGTTTTGGATATGGTTTTTCCTTGCAGCACTAAGCCCAGCTGTGACATCCCTTTTTGATACCAGTCCTTCTGTGTTCAGTATATCTGTTTCCCCCCTTTTTCATTAGATGCTGCCTGGCTCAGAAGGAGCAAACCAGGCACAGACAGAGCTGGCTCGGTGCGACAGGTTAGCATAAAACACGAAATGTCAGGGAGGAGATGTAAGGTCTTCTGGTGCCTTAGGGCTCAAGATCAGTTTTGTGCCTGTTTGACTTTTTATCCTGTTTGCCAAAGCTCTAAGGGCTTCCTCTAGGTTCCTGTTCTATAGTAAGTGGAAACATTAATGTAATGTCTTCAGATAGCTTTTAGCGGAAGCTGCAGAGAACACTGACACGAGTACGTGAGGCCCTTTCTCAGCAAGCAACGTGGGAGGCAGGACCATTTAGTGTGGTGAAGTCTGGGCCTGCAGGTACCTTCCTGTGGCCTTTCTTGCCCCCACTGTAGCATTCAAAATGAGTTATTTACCTGGTAAATACTAAACTAGGATAATTTAGTATGTTGGATTTAGTATAATCACAGTAATGGTGTGTGCCTAGTGAGTTCCTCCTTTGACAACTGGAATACAGAGTTCTGGAAGGATATCAGGAAGCGAAGGGCTGCATCTTTCTTCACACACTACATTTCTTTCTGTCCAGTTCTTCATCTGAACTTTTTTCTTCCTTGAAATCAAACAGTGTGTCATGAAGATCATGTAGGGCGGTACAACGTGCTGCTTTTTGACCTGTAAAGCTATGTGTGATTTCGGTCTGATAACCCAGCTAATTATGAGCAAACCTGGCACTTTAAGTTAGATGGGTGGCAGGGTAAACTTCCTGGGGCCATGGCTTTTCAGTGGACCTCAGTTGCTCACCAGATTCTGTTAGGAAATGTCTTGAAAGGTGTAGTATATGTGTGTGATTTTTTTTTTTTTGCGGTTGCAAAAACATAGAGGCAGTTTTTTGTACTAACACACGTTATATTTGATAGCGATTGAAATGGTGGCTGGAACACGGGTGCAGACCAGTGGTTTCTACAAATGAAAGTAATTCAAATGTCTGTGCCTGTACAATTTTATGCCTCTTACCTTGCTGGTGCATCACAAAACTCCTGGTGTCTGTGGCTGTTGCCTCTGCCCGGATTTCTGATCGCCGTGGGCCACTGCTCCGTTTGCCAGTTCTCTACAAGAAAAAGTGGCATTTAGTCTTGCTGGCAGCTGTTAGAACATCTGACTGTTCACATCCCCTTGACAGTTGCATCACAGGACTGAGATCTAGAACCTAGTAACAATTTAGGATTAGAGTGTAGTTACTCTTTAATTTCAAGAGGCTGATCAAGACATTAGCTTCCTGTTGGTGTAACTCGATGGGTGAGAGAACCTGTTTATTACCAATAGCTGAAACTCCCAAGTATCTCGTCTCCACTGATCATTCAGTGTTCACATACCCTGTGCTGCTGCCAGGCTGGTTTCCAGGAGGAAAGGAGGAAGTTGCAGGGTTCGGATTTGTTTAGTCAGCCTTGGAGTTCAAAGCCCATGCATCCATAGGAGAGCTTTTAACTGAGCTCACCATTAGAATGATGCATTTCTGCATCATGTCATTCCTAGAAAATAACTTTCTCAGGCAGCACATCTGGAGAATTTCCAGCAAAAGTTCAAAAGAAAATAACCAACCGCAACCGTTTTGGTTTTTTTGTTGTTTTTTTTTTTTTTTAATTTATGGTAGTGTTTCCTTCCTGGTTTTTCTGGTGAGGCTCTTTTTGGATGATTTTAAGCAATTCAGCATTGCAGTCTGTCCTAAGAACTAAATTATGTGCACGCTTTTCCTCCCAGCTTGGGAATAGTGGGAGTTTGTTTTGTTGATATCACAAAAGGGTGAGGGCAAAGGGTGATGTACATCCAGTATAAAATTAATGTCTCAGGCAAAAGAAAACAGTGAGGTAAAAAAAGGGGGTGAGGGAAGCAAAAGAGGCGTTTGGTTTGAGTGTGCTGGAGTAGAGCTTTACTGTGCCTGCAGAGAGGGAATGGACAGAGCCTTTTTGGTGTCTTGCCCTGCCCTTATCATTTGTCTTGCGGTACTTAATTAACCCAAGACTTCATGTTTGATTGCAACGTTAAGAAATTCAGTGACGGCCAGAAATTATTTTGGAATTTGAGGTCGTAGGTCTCGAGTATGAGGTCTGACATTTATGGCACAGCATGGAATACATGGAAGTTCCAAAGGGACCTGAACTTTATTTTGCTCAAGTGTAACAGAAAGCACTTGAAAGATGCAGGCAGAAGAGACGTACTTTCTGCCCAGGGAGATGGAGAGCTCTGCCTGGTCTGGGGGCTGTGTCTCGGCATGGAGGGAGGTAAAGTGCTGGACACTTGGTGTTGGACCCGCTGCAGCTGTGCCGAGCGGCCGGCTGCCGCTGGGCGGCTCTGGGGGAGAAGGGAGGGGGTTGCTGCGGTTCGGACCGTGCGCGCTCGTCTGTGTGTTAAGCGTTTTTCTGTCTTGTGTTCGTTCACAGCTGTGATTAGTGCTCATCCCATCCATTCACTCGATAACCCTCACCATCATTTCCACTCCGGCAGCCTCGCCTCTCCAACTCGCAGCTATCTCCACCACCAGGTCAGCCCGTGGCCGATGGGCACATCCATGTCCCATTCAGACAGGGCCAATTCCACAGGTGAGATGCAAATGGTCAGGTAGATTTTGCTTGTGATGGAACAATGAGTGAAATCAAAGCCTGGTGCGTTTCAGTGCAGACAGAATCCTTGAAAGGTTGAGTTTTCTGTAAACAGTTTATCATGCAGATCAGGTATTGATCCTTGAAATACATGGTGATGTCATTGGAAAAGGAGCCTCTCTGTGTTATGTGCAGCTTCAGAGAGGAAGATTCCTTACTCTGAAGCCTGGAGTCTGAAACATCAGATAAAATCTAATTTAGCTACTTAAAATGATAACTTTTTTCGTAATTAGTTCTGTTGGAAACAGAGAAGGACAAAAGTCCAGACTTGCTGCTGAGAACTGACATTAATCTTCCTGAAGCACACAGAGAGAAAATGGTGCTGATTTCTGTGCAGCATTTTCAGGCCTGAAGCAGAATTTTTGCTATATTTTTTGTAATGTGTCTCGTGCTCTGAAAAATTCTGAAACAACAGAATTGCACATAGGTAACATCTTGAGATGAAGTGAATTTTGACATTCCCTCATTAAAGGTCTACAGTTTAAATTCATGCCACAACCAACAGCCTTGTTTCCTTACAGAAGCAGTTTAGGAGCCTGCAAAGATACAGGCAGACAATGTGTTAGAGGCAGAGGTTCCCCTTGTTCTCTTTACACGGCCAGACAGCTCTCACAATCCAGATCTTTTCCTGCACGTGAACCGAGCAGGATCACGATGCCCTAAATTTCAAGACACCATCTCACTGTTTTCTGATATCAGGGTGGAGCCTGCTGCAGTAAAACAAATGAAGCCTGGGATTTTGTTTTAGCTTTCAGCACTTTCAAGTCTATCTCAGGAAAAAAATGTGGCTCTTCTGTATGCACCACAGTGAGGTGTGCTTAATGTATAGCTATTTAAGAATGCCAATAGTGTGCAACACTCCCGGGTAAAATGAGGTGAAGGTTTGTGTTCTGTGGGGCTTATCTGAGGTGTGTGAATTCCCTTCTTAGCTTCTAACGGCGACCTTGGAAAAGGTGCTTGCAGACACTGCTGGTTTGTTTCCATCTGACCACAGAGAACATTTCCTTGAGGAAAACGAAGCCCTTGGGGCTTTTGTGTCTCGTAGAATCGGTTCGGAACACCCCGAGCACGGACACCATGCCGGCTTCCTCGTCCCAGCCCTGCGCCGAACCCCAGGACCCCGAGAGCAGCGCGGGCTCCTACCTGGCCAGCACGCAGGAGGAGGACTCTGCTCAGAGCCTGCCCACGGCGCACGTCCGCCCCTCCCACCCGCTCAAGAGCTTCGCGGTGCCGGCGGTGCCAGCGCCCGGCCCCACCTATGACCCTGCCTTGCCGAGCACACCCTTACTGACTCAGCAAGGTGAGTGGGGAACTGGCCCCACCTGCTCGCCAGAGACAGGAGGAGGATGGGGTTTGTGAGAAGAAAATGAGAGAGGCTCCTCAAGGGGTGGAGGGTAGAGTTGGGCATCAAAGGAAGTACAGAATCATAGAGTGCTTTGGGTTGGAAGGAACTTCCAAAGGTCATCTGGTCCAACCTCCAGTCTGCCAGAATTTTGTCGGTATAACTTTCAAGGCCCTTTTATGTACGCAGGGTAAACTAGACAGGAATTCAAACTCAGCACTCCATAATCTGAAGTGTTCGTTCTCCTCTAATAGAATCCTTTTTGTTCTCCTCCTTTCAAGGGCTTTCTGAATAAGCATAAGAACTAATTAACTGAGGCATAACTATATATCCCTTTCTTTTAAGCTCCTAACCATCCAGTTCACTCGGTGAAGACTGCGTCGATTGGGACTTTAGGAAGAACTCGACCTCCTATGCCTGTTGTAGTTCCCAGTGCCCCTGATGTGCAGGAGACCACCCGGATGCTGGAGGACTCGGAAAGCGTAGGTACTCGGACGCTGCCGGTGGCTTTCTGTGGCAGTGCTTAGCAAACGGGGGCGAATCTCGCTGGTGGGGACACTTGGAAACTTCAGCGACGTCTGTGCTGACACTTTCAAAGGCAGAGGATGATGATGCTTCTGAGTTAAAGCCCACATAAAAAAAGCCTAGTGCAAGTACCTTCTACAGAAGGCAGCAAATTCACAGAATAAGCACTTCAGTTGCAAGTACTAGTAGAGCTTTCTAAATCTAAAGGAGTATATCTTCATTCCCAGCCACACAAAACCAAACAGATCCAGTGCATCCATCTAGTCCAGCCCACAAGACCTGCTCAGTCAGACACAGAAAAACCTTCAACAACATTTTGGCTGAACTGAGGCTGTTACATGAACATGGAGTCATGTTCTCTGAGATAGAATCATAGAACACTTTTTGTTGGAAGAGACCTTTCAGATCATCAAGTCCAACCATTCCCCCAGGACTGCCAGGTCCCCACTGACCCATGTCCCTCAGCACCACATCTCCACGGCTTGGAAACCCCTCCAGGGATGGGGACTCCACCACTGCCCTGGGGAGCGTGGCACAGCCCTGCACAACCCTCAACGAGAAGAAATTGTTCTTCAGGTCCAACCTAAACCTCCCCTGGGGCAACTTGAGGCCGTTTCCTCGTTTGTTGCTTGGGAGAAGAGCCCGACTCCTACCTGGCTCCAGCCTCCTGTCAGGGAGTTGTAAGATCTCATTTCCTGACCCATGCTCAGTGCCTCTCGTTTTCGCTGGCCTCTTGTAGTGACACAGAGGGGTGAAGACAGGTCCCACCTACAGCACTAGTCTTCTCTTCTCTGCAGTACATAGTGCCTGGTGGAGCTTTGGTTTGTGCCCTGCACATCTGCCTTCTGCCTGCTTATCTTAATGTGAGGAGCATCTCTGCTCACAGAGCTGAAGGCCTCCAGCAGTGCAGTTGGCTCTTCTGTACAGCTTCAGACATGCTGGTGCTCACTTGGAGATGTCATTTATTCCTGGTTCTCCAGCATGCTGTGCCTGGATCCTGTTAAGGTCACGCAGCTGCAGTTTCCTGTGCTGCTGCAGAGCAGCCAAAGTGTCATTGCAGCTGGAAAATGTAGCTTTAATGCCAAAATGTTTAAAGCTATCATCCCAAATATGTTTCTAGATACTCGTATGAAAGCGTTCTAAAAAAATGCAACCAAGTGTTTGGCTTCTTTGGAAGAGCCATTTTCCTTTCAGATTGCAAGCCAAGAAGTTAGTGCCTTAGCTGTTGTATTACTGCTACAGAAAATGTTTGTTCTGAATTAATAAGAATGTTTCTTTTTTTTTTTTTTTTTTTGATTCCGTACTGTCCTTTCCTGTTGTCACCCTCCTGATTTTATTTCTGTATGCACTGGCCTAGAAACCGTATGCATGCTTGATTTGGTGCACTTCTGCCCTTCTGCCGAGTTGTCATTTCTACTTTATTCTTTTTTTGGTTGGTACCAAAAGTGCAGTCCAATATTTACTGATGAATGAACTAATACTTAATATTAGTAAATATTTATGAATAATACTAATATTTATTAATGTCTACAATTAAATCTTAAGAAATTAGTACAATCTAAAGTCACCACAGCATACAACTAGTTAAATCAGGAGTTTTAAAAATTAGGATTAGGTAGTGATTTGGATGGATTCTGCTTTTTTAGGAGATCCAGTAGGAATGAGCCCGAGTACTGCCAGTTCACTGCTGTTTATCCCTGTCAAGAGTCAGAGATACAGGCACAGGACAGAGATGACTCCTCTGGCACAATCCAGAATCCTTGGTAAAACGCAAAGCGCCTTTTATTTAAATGAAAGGAAAGGCTTGTGTCTCGAAGCAAAGGAAGTGAGATCACAGTCAGGGTTTGGGGCTCCATGCTGGGAGGGGCACAATCAGCTGAGCTTTAATGTAAGACTCCAGCCAGAAGGTCTAGTAACAGACCTTAAATACATAGAGCAGAAACTATCAAAGCAGGAGCTTCGTGGCAATAATAGAGCTGTTGGTGGACCACCATGTGCAGCCAAGGAGGGGGTTGGAGAAATACTCCAAGAACATAAGGGCTTGAAAACTACTCAGTCCACTTAGAAAAGGGTTTGAGATCATTATTGTTATTAATGGTATCTGTCTCTGCATACATGGATTGATAACAGAATGATGGTAGCTGGAGCTAGGCAATTGAGGCTAAAACCAGAGTATGATTTTAGCAAGCGTAATAATTCTCAAAATAGTTTTATCGAAGTGATTCCTTTGACCTTTTTTTCCAGTTGAGCTAGCCAGATTTTTCTGAAATATCTACTTTGGTTCAAAGGAAGCAGTTATCTTGAAGCAGGAACTGATACAAGGAGAACAGATAAGATGATCACAGTCTTAAAAATCAATGAAACTATGAATCACTATTGCAGAAAGATCTGCACTTAAAATAGAGAGTTGTTTCAAGTTATTAATTCCTGTAACTGTCGATAAATCTGCTTTTGCTTATTTATGTGTCAGGGTCACAATCTACACCAGAATCACTAACTATTTCTCTTCATTTCTTATTCTGTCACTCCTTAAAGAGACCAAGTCACCTTGTCACTAACTCTTTACCTCTCCCCCAGAATTACGAACCGGACGAGCTGACCAAAGAGATGGCCCACCTGGAAGGACTTATGAAGGACCTTAATGCCATCACTACAGCATGACCACCTTCACCAGGACACGACTCCAGACAGTTTCACAGGTCTTGGGACTCAGCCTTGGAACACAAGGAATTGTACAGAGGGAAGAAAAGAAAAAAAAAAAAAGGAAAACAAAAAAAAGAGAGGAAAAAAACAACAGAACGAGGGACAGCACATGAGAGCATACACAGAAAACAAAGAACCAACCAGGGCATTTATGCTACAGCTGGTCAAAGGTAGATGATGACTTTGCTGTCATCATCCTGCAGTGAAGTCATTGCCAAGCTGAATTCCATTTGCCTGCCCAGACAATGCAGGGCCGGGACTCCTCGGGCTGAAATTGAGCATCCAGACTAAGGGAAAAAAAAAAAGTGGACTTCACAGGTTGTGGGTTTTTTTTCTGGTCAGGTTTTGTCTCTGTGGTGTGATTGCCCTGCCTTTTTCAGTGTTGGACATTCGCATTTATGTACAATTTTATTTGTGTTTTTATTTTATCTTTTTTTATAAAAAGGAAAAAAAATGTTGTAATAAAAAAAAAAGAGAAACTTGTTTTCCCCAGCCTAGACTGATGTTTGACTGCTTGTTCTATTGTGTATGAAAATTCATTGCCAGTGTGGGTTGTTCTGGGTTTTTTTGTTTGTTTGTTTGTTTTTTATTCTGCATATAATTACATCCCCTTCTGGCAGTTAATCCATGGCCTTTTGGGATGCTGCACTGCTATTTGTAAGCTTTTTTATTATTTTTATATTATAATTATTAAAAGCCTGACTTTCTCCTCTCATCACTGTGAGATTACCAGTCTGTTTGAATTGAAATGTAATTTGAAAGGCTTGTTTGTCGCTTTTTGTGCAGTTTCAATATTTTGAGTGGGGAAAAGTAGATGGGGAAGGGGAGGGGATCCAGGGGAGGTTTTATCATTGTTGTTTTCCTGTCTTTCTACATTGCCTCGAAAGACTGAAGAAAATGAAAGCATCTTCTGTAACGTCCTTCCTTGTAACTCATACGGTGTCTCTGGTTACTGAATTGCAGTCAGAGTCTCATTTAGAAACGTTAAAAAAAAAAATTCCTCCTGTAAAGTAAGGTTCCTTATGTTTAGATGACACTACAGCTTATTTTGGCAACAGTTTTGTTGTTAGTTTAAAGGTCGCATCACGAAAGGCTGCAAGTGCAGATTGAGAGCTCAGGCCAGGCAGCAGTGCTCAGCACTTCTCTGCTGAGGTCTGAGCTACCTGGACCTCCCAGGAGCAGAGCACTGTGCACCTCTTCTCATCAACAACATACCAGATAGTACTTCTGGGAGTACCACATGTCCACAGGATCCTTCAGCAGCCACTCCAGCCCCAGGGCAATTTCTCTGTCCCAGGCCCTTTAAACAGGAATCTTTCTCTTAAGGAGTCTTAAGCAGAGAAAGAAGCAAGCTTAAAATGTAATTTATTTTTTTTTACACTTTTGAAACCATTTGAAAAGAAAAACAGTATTAGCAACTCAGGTGCTGTTGACATATCTGTCTAGAAAGGAAGGAAGGTTAAAAGGGAACTCCTATAGGAGAGGAAGGAAAGGGGTTTTCCTTTCCTCCTTGATTGCCTGGCTCTGCCATACCCCATGAAGGAGGAATGGCATAAAAAAAGGGGCTGTCTTTTAGTGAAAAAAAGACCCAGCAATGCCCAGCTGCCAAGGAACACGTGTGCACTTTGACTTTTAAGAGGAAGCTCAGAACCTCCTGCTGATCCAGCTAGAGAAGGTGTTCCCCCAAAGCGGGCAGGGGCTCGGCGCTGCCCTTGTCCACAGTGCCTCTGCTGGGTGGCTGTGCCTCCTGGGACCACAGAAGAAAATACTGTCATCTGCTTAAACTGAAATAAACAAAAACAAAACAAAACAAAAACAAACCAAACCAAACCAACAAACGAAAAAAAAACACACAAGAGCTTGGCTTCATTTCTTTTCTCCTTTGGACTCGAGCTAAAGCTCTGGGCCCATCTCCACAGTCCCTGTCACTAGGAGAGGAGAGAGCCAAGCAGCCATTCCGGGCAGCAGCAGGGTTTGGCTTGTAGTTTTTACCTCCTTTCTTTTCTCAGCCTCTTTCTGTTGTCATTTCTAGGACGTTTGCTGGGGGTATTCATTATGTGAGGGGCAGAGGGAAGCAGATGAATTGGAGCACCGTGGTCCACCTGGAAAATTGACGTTTGGACTTTTAATCAATACAATTCAGGGCAAAATAAGCTACAGAATATGTATTTAAACAAAAAAAAACATGCACCCTGTCCCGAAAGGAGGGTGTGTATGTTTTCCTTTGCCTATTTTTTACATATACCCAAAGAAATACCATCCTATATATACAGTATTCTTAGCTGGTGGGTCTTTGTGAATATTACTTACATATAACACCATGAATGTTAATATTGTCATTGAATTTGGGGAGGGGGAATATTTTTAATGATAAAACAACTGTTCAAAGTTGTTTTTTTAAGGTTAAACTAAAAAAAAAAAGAAAAACATTTATTCAATTCAGTGTACAATCTGTATTGCACTTTTTCACATTTTAATGTTAACATTTTCTTACATATCCTGTGATTTTAAATTTGGAACATTGTGTATCCTTGTAGTGTCATAGTCAAGCTGTTAAGTGACAGCTTCCCTCAGAGACATTTGGGGAAAAAAAAAAAAAAAAAACCTGTATATTGTTTTATGATTCTCATGTAGAACAATTTTGAGGACTGCTGTAGACGTCTACCTTTCTGTACAATTTTTTTTTTTGCGTTTCTGTAGTATTTGCTGTATACTCTATGGCTTTTTTTAATAACTTCATGTTTATTATTTTGTATTGGACATCCAATACACTTTTTTTAATCCAATCAAATTCTGGTCTGCTTGGAGAGTTTGTTCTCTTTTGAATTATTCTTATACCTTTTTTTTTTTCCCCCCTTAATCAGCATGGTGACCAGGTTTGGAATTTTGCTGGCTCCTTTTTTTGGTGTCCCAGGTCCTGTTTTGGGACCCAAGGCAGCGCAGGAGGGTGACACTAGAGGGCAGCGGTGACCTGCCGGTGGATAAAGCTGCACAGCAAAGCTCAGCCTGCACCACTTCAGCATCCACGGGGCTAAATTCTTGCTCGGCAGCCCAGGTTAAGGAGACTGACAGTAGTGATTCTTTCTTCTTGAAAGAAAATTGACACTGGATTTGAACTAGCAGCAAACGACTGTTCACCTCAAATCCAAGAATTCCTTCTGGGGCTCAACATGATTAACCAAATGGCCTTTGTCCAAAATGGGAAACCTTTACAGCTTTTCCCTGAGGCCAGGTCTCCCCTCACCCAGCGCAGGCCTCGGCCAGGTTACGGGGGTCCCCCACGACCCCTCACATACAGCCCAGTGCTGAGTTGCGGTGTGACTCTAGAACCTTCCATAAGCAGACCCAGCAAAAACTCCTGCCTCCAAAAGAGGGTGCTGGCCAACCGGGCAGGCAAGGGGCCAACCATCCGGGCAAGCGAAGGCACGGGGCCGCTGGAGCGGAGGTGGCCACAGGGTGAGGAGAAGGAATGACAACCCTCAGCAGCACAACGTGGGAAGGTGGCAACGAGAACATGAGCATCAGCATCAGAGTGGCCAACCCCCCCTGTTCACCTGCCCCTTGAGAAGGCAGGAAAAGCCTGAAGATGGTACACGAAAATCCACCGAGGGAGAGAGAGGAGGAGCGGGCCTGCTCCGAGTGCTGCTGGGCCACCTTGCTGGGGGGGAAGGTGTTCTCACCTGGCCTCCCACCATGCTCAAAGCCTGGTTCATGGCCACAGGCAGGGCTGGAAGGAGCTGCACAAGGCAAACAACCTACTCCCTGTCCTTTAGTTGCTGAGAACCATCCTTTTTCCAGTTACTTCCCTATTTCAGCTCCCATCTCCCAACGTTTTCCAGCACACCCTGCCAGACCTTCCTCTCTAGGGAGGGTGCCCAAGACAACTGGTTCTCATAAAGCTGCAGTTTAGAGCAAACACTCATTTTCCTTGGTAGGTTCTTAGGAAAAAACGCTGTTCCCCAGCCCTGCTGGCTCAGGACATCCCCCCCTCAGCCAGCTGCCAAGTGGCCTCTGGCTGGCAGGCTGCTCTGCCCATGGTGGGTGGCACATGGTAGCAGTTTAACCCCAGCCCTTCTGTTAGCACAGAAACACACCAGTACCACCACTGCCAGCCTTGGAAACGTGATGCAGTGCTGCTCCTGGAGCTGCAAGTCCTCTCCACCTGAACCAGACACAGGCCAGCCCTGGTTACCATACCAGTAACCCCACAACTGGGGGAGGGGGGCTGGGCGAATTAAATGAGACATGCCAGAGATGAAGCAAGAAAATCATCATACATCAACTTAATCCAAAGCAGAAGCACTCACCCTTAGTGGGCTCCAGGCTAGGATAGACCAGACTGCAGCAGGCTCCTCTGCATGAGGGTTTTGCTGTGGCCCTTTCCATTTGCTTTCATTTTAGGCTGGCTGTCCATGCCTCCACCTCCCAGAACTTCATCATTCTGTAAAGAGCAGGGTGACATCTTCCTCCCTGGACTGCAGACCTAAGGGGGTAAGAGTAACCCCCTTTGTAAGCTCAGTCACTGTCCCTGGCTGGCAGGGCCTCTGCAGAGCGAGATGGGACAGCCCACTGTGCGTGTTGGAAAGCCCTGACCTGACTGCAGCCCCCGAGCAGGAGCAGGACCCTGCCACGGGGAGCAGGAGACCGCTGCCAGTGCAGACACCCAGGTCCCAGCAGCAGCAGGGCAGGG